AAGAAATATTTTAAGCTCTTGTGGTCAGTATATACTTCACATGTCACCCCATACAGATAGTGACACCAGATTTTCAGTGCAAATACCACTGCGGCAAGTTCCAGGTCATGGGTCGGGTAGTTCTTTTCATGCGGTCTCAGTTGACGGGAAGCATAGGCAATTACTCTCCCATTCTGCATTAAAACACATCCCAAACCCTTATGAGAAGCATCACTAAATATAGTATAACCATCTGTACCTGAAGGTAAAGTAAGAACCGGTGCAGTCACCAATCGAGTTTTCAACTCCTGGAACACAGATTCTCTTTGGTCAGTCCAGTCAAATGATATCCCCTTCTAAGTCAATTGAGTCAATGGTAGGGCAATTTTGGAGAAGTCTCTGACAAACCTTCTATAATATCCAGCCAATCCCAAAAAGCTTCGGACTTCAGTCACATTTGTCGGTCTAGGCCAGTTCACTACAGCTTCAATTTTCTGCGGATCAACAGATATTTCATTTTTGCTAACAACATGCCCCAAAAACATAACATTGTCAAGCCAGAATTCACATTTAGACAGTTTAGCATACAGTTTCTGTTCCCTTAAGGTTTGTAGGGCAAGTCTCAGATGTTGTTCATGTTCTTCTATACTCTTGGAGTAAATCAATATGTCATCAATAAATACAACAATAAAGTCGTCCAGGTATGGTTTAAAAATTCTGTTCATGAGGTCCATAAAAGCAGCAGGTGCGTTCGTGACTCCAAAAGGCATAACTAAAAATTCGTAATGTCTATACCTCGTTCTAAGAGCAGTTTTATCAATGTCATCTGGTTTAACTTTCAACTGATGGTATCCGGATCTGAGATCAATCTTGGAAAACACTTGTGCACCCTATAACTGATCAAACAAATCGTCAATACGTGGTAATGGGTATTTATTCTTTACGGTTACCTTATTCAGTTCACGATAATCAATGCACAGTCTCAGTGAGCCGTTTTTCTTCTTTACGAACAAGATAGGTGCGCCCCACGGTGAAGTACTGGGCCTGATAAACTTCTTGTCTAACAGTTCTTGCAATTGCACTTTCAACTCCTTCAGTTTAGTTGGAGCCATTCGGTAAGGAGCTTTAGAAACTGGTTGTGTTCCGGGAATCACATCAACGGTAAATTCAATCTCCCTATCAGTCAAATCTCCTGGAAGATTATCTGGAAAAACATCTGGAAATTCCCTGACTATAGGAATACAATTCACATCAGTCTTAACACTATCATCAGTAGACACAGTCAGTACAGAACACAGATATCCTTTACACCCCTTTCTAATTAATTTAACAGCTTTCACTGACGAAATCAAATACGGAGGAGGTACTACTCCACTCCCATTAAACACAAATGCAGGCAGACCAGGTGGACGGAAAACAACTTGCTTGGTCACACAGTCAATAGAGGCATGATATTTTTGTAACCAATCCATCCCCAATATTACATCAAAATGATCAATGTTCAATGGCAGTAAATCAATAAACAGATGCATATCCCCAACAATTTTACCAAACTGTATGCCAATCTAGTTTCTGTGATATATATATCTTATTTTGGAATTGATCCCTGTTTTCAAAACTGTATTTACTATTCATGTTGCTACTCACTGAGCTATCAGCTGACTTAGTTGTTTATCATTTCTAGGTGTCAGAAGGACTTATAGTGGACTCATGGCGTAGCGGGGACTCAATTGCATGGACCACTAGGACATTCATTTATTTTGTTTTAGACTGTTATGTCAAGTTTGTGCATATTTATTTTATTTTTATTGAGGTTCATTTAGGATTATTTTATTTTGTGGGCAGTTTGTGTCCCATTTAGTATATATATATATATATTTTTTAGGAAGTTGGTTATGGCTTGTTTTGCACTTGTGGCATGTCACTGGATTGGGTTTTGATTTATTTATTTCTGGGCTATCGTTACGTTTATTCTTTATGGTTTTGGGTTCATGTTTAGGCTTACATGTGTCTTGGGCTAAGGCCCTAAAGGCCACAACCGGTCATGCCCAGATTTAGGGTGTGACAAACACCACCAACGTCTCTCAACTATCTGGCAAAGAACTGAGCAGCAACAGGGCCTGTATCTCATCATCTAACTCCATTTTGACGGTTGCAAGTTGGTTCACCAGATTTTGAAACTCACTGGTGTGTTCAGCAACAAAGACGCCGTCTTTCAGTCTTCGATTAGTACATGCTTTCTAACTTCATCCATAGAGCATAGGCATCAGTCTCTTGGGCGACATGGTAGAAGACACTGTGATCGATCAATTGTCTGATCTGGCCAATGGTTTTTTAATTCTTCCACTTCCAATCTTCATCGTTTTTCGTTTTTGGTTTAACTCCGTTAAGCTCAATGGGGTCAAACAAATCTCGGCAGTACAGGGCATCCTCTATTCTAGGCTTCCAGATTGCATAGTTGGAAGCAGTCAGCTTGATTATAGATCCCGAAGTCGATGTTGATTCCTCCATCAACACCTGTCTTTACAGAAAATGATCTCTGTCTGAAAATTAGGCTTCACTGTTGAGTCTGGACTAGTCAAATTAACCGAAAAAGCACTTCGGATTGCCAAAATAAAAATTGTAAATTTTTGAAATTTGATTTTGAAAATTTGACCATACAGATGTGTTCAAAATATTCTAAATAGTTGGAAAATACTATTGGATCATCCAAAACGGACTCAAAATGGCTCAGATCAAGCCAAAATAGGTTGAACGGTTCAAATCGGCAAACCCTAGAGCGGCTAAGAAGCACCGAATCATTTCTTGCGCTCAGCTGGCGGCGCAACTTGGCAGCTGGTGCCGCAGCTTGGTCAACGGCTCGGCCAACGGCAGCTTGGTTAGCGGCTTGGTCAAAGCGGCTCGACTTTGGTCAATGGCTACAACCAGCCGCTGGGTCAACAGGTCGAAGTGCGGGTCAGATCGATGACATCATCACGATGACATCAAAGTGTCTTCTTCCCTGGTTTCGCGTGTGAAGCTCGTGATGTCAATCACCGACACGTGAGAAACGGCGTCCGGGCGTGTGCGGCCTTGTCCAGCGCCCTTTTTTGACGCGATTTTTTTCAGTGTGCTCGTCTCGTCGAGATCTTTCACTTGGTGTGATCAAAAATGGATTTCGACCAATTTGATTTCACAAGCAGAGTACATGTATGCACAGGTCATAGATCCCCCAACGGGTGATGATACAGCTAACAGATAATTCATAGGTTCTAAGGGTCTATTCAATTTACGCGAAAAAGCATGCGACACATAAGAATGCGTAGACCCCGAATCAATCAGTACATAAGCAGTCTGAGTACAAATAGAGAGAATACCTGACACAATGGTCTCGGTATTCTGGACGTCTCCCGGTACTAGGGAAAACACTCGGCCCTGCCTCATAGGCTCTTTCCCGGTAGTTCTGGGGTTCGGTTTCGGTGTAACAGTTGATGCCGCTACGCTTAGTGTAGCTTTACTACCAGTTTGTGGAGCAGAAGGACAGTCTTTAACCATGTGGCCCACTTTGCCACACCTATAACAGGCTCCTGATATTTTGTAGCAGACCCCTTTGTGCTTCTTGCCACACTCAGAACAGGGTGGTATGAACCCACTCCCTTGACTGGGGCTAGTTGTCGACCCCGTATTCTGTTTCTTATTGGCCGGGTTATGCTTGCCTTTCTTGAATTTGAAACCCTGCCTTTTACCATGTCATTCAGTTGTTGGTGTTTCGGATTGTTTCACTGCTGCAATGTTCGACTCGGCCATCAATGCCCGGTCGAGAACACCCACGAAAGTCGGTAGTTTCAAGACATTTATTCGGTCAAGAATTGCAACATTAAGGCCGCCTTCAAATTTTCTGGCCTTCTTATACTCAGTATCCACCATATGCGGTGCATAACGGGCAAGTTCAGTAAATTTTGTTTCATATTCGGCAACCGACGTGGTGCCCTGTTTCAGTTGTTCAAACTCAGTTACTTTCCTATCCCTGACACACTGTGGGAAGTACTTTTCAAATAAGGACTCCTTGAACTGAGCCCAAGTCATAACAGTATTTGTATCACGGATCAACATCCACCACCTTCTAGCTTCTTCCTGTAGGGTGAAGGTAGCTAACAATACTTTATTCGCTTCTGAGCACGGGAACACTTCAAATAGTTTTTCTGTTTCTAAAACCCAAGCTTCAGCTTTTAACGGTTCGAGGCCTCCCTGAAAGGATGGCGGTTTCATTTTGCTGAACTTCTGGGTCAGAGCAATTATGTCCCCATCATTCACATTCGCATTAGGTTCCGGCTGTACCGGAGGAGGAGGAGGTGGGGGCTGTTGGTTCTGTTGTTGTTCAAGTCTAGCAGTTATCAGTTCCATCATTTTTTCCATTCTTGCCTCAGTAGATGAGGATTCGGGTTCAGTTGCATTGTCCATTCCACTATAAGCAGTTATAACAGTTTTAAACATAAGCAGTCTTTTGTTTCACAGTTTAACACATTAGCAGATATTCAGTCATAACATAACCACACACTTTTCAAGTTCATGAAATGTCCTAATCACTTTTCTAGGACTCCCTGTAGCTCATTTGGGACACGTGTGTGCGGTATAACTCGTGGTAAGTATCGCTCTGATACCACTCTGTCACGACCCAAACCTGGCCCTATGGGTTTAGTACCGTAACCGGCCAGTAATCCGAGACTACCGAAGCCCTACAGAACAGTAATACAGTAAAATAGAGTACAGGGCCTGGCGAAAGCCAATACAGTAAATAAACAATGCCCAATGAGCTGTGACAGTCTGTATGCAAAAAGATTTTCCATACATTTATACGTAAACAGCACAGAACAGTATGCACAATATTTACAATCATTCAGACTAGGGACTCAACCCTAGATAACAGTACGGTAAACATTCAGTCCATACAAAACAGTAAGACGGTACAGAAGGGGGAATTGTAAAACACCCCTAAGCCTTAACACGATAGGCTCGGAACCTTGCAGTGAGGCACAAAGGCTGGCTTGACAAAACTGGAGTACCCTGATGCTCCTAGCCGCGGTCTGGTGCCTGTACACCTACATATATATATGAGCAGTGAGCTAAAGCCCAGTGAATAACATAATGCGTAAAGAGGTTAAGAATGAATGTCCTTACAGTATGAAAACAGTTCATTTAAACAGTATTCAGTCATTCAGTCAGTACAGTCATATGTGGTACACCCATTAGCATAACAGTACAGAGTAAACAGTAGGTCTTAAAAGACCGAACAGTAATGATGGCCATCAGTTAGTAAACAGTAGTGGTTCCAACGAGGGAACCGACAGAGAATTCTGTCGCAGTAACAGTAAACAGTAGGTGCTAAGGATGCCACAATACAGTTCAGAATATAGGACATACATTCATTCAGCTAACACTAATCAGTTCAGAAAACAGTACAGTTCAGTTGTTCAGAAGATAATCATTTGCGAACATATCTTTACACAATCGTTACTCACAGAGTTTGGGCTACAGTATGCTAGAGCGTGTCTCCCCAGTCGCCAACCCTACACAGTTAACAGATTGAACACACTAAGCCACACAATTGGGAAAGGTAATAACTTAATCCCTAATGCCTCGGTGTGTTCTACATCTATATCCTCAACAAGATGCCCTAAACTAGGCCTAAGAATGCCTAGAATGGGATGAGGATGCAAAGATGCACATTTAAAAGCATTTTCAGAAAAACAGAGTCCCGCTCGAGCGCAGGTTTTCCCGCTCGAGCGGTCATGCAACAAAGGTACACGCTCGAGCGTAAACTTTCCCGCTCGAGCGTACTGTAAAAGTACTGGATGGGTGAAATCTCCGCTCGACGCCCGCTCGAGCTTGAGACATGACTCCGCTCGAGCGCCCGATCCTACGCTCGAGCGGACTGTAAAACAGTGCAGAGAGATGCTGGATGCTCGGATTCCACACTCGAGCGCCACTTTCCCCGCTCGAGCGTAAGTGCAAAATCTGGGAATTCCAGATTGCACCTCCAAGCTCAAACTCACAATCAAATGCATCAAAACCAATCCTCTTGGGCCCATTTTCTGGAAAACATGTAAAAACACATAGAACAACATGGTTCAAAGCTCAATTTGAGAAATCAAGCCCAAGGGTGTTTAATTCAAACCCAATTTCAAACCATTTTTCAAGAATATGAAGAACATGCAAACATGCATGAATTCAAATCATTTTGAAGCTCCAATTTGATGCTCTAGTGAGCCAAATCTTTCAAGAACAAGATGAAAACATGGACTTAAACATAATTATGAACATGCAAGTAACATTTTGCCATGAACTCAACTCAAACTCCAACAACACTAATATGCATGCAAGAAATGAGCTTCAATTCACCATTAATGAACCAATTCATGACTTAGCTTTACAATTAGACATGAACCATGCAAGAATTAGTTCAAACACAAGAATGAGAAGATGAAATCCTTACCTAGAGCTTGAATTAGAAGACTAGGAGCTCAAAGATGCAATCTATACTTCAACTAGCAAGTAATTCTCCAAGTTTCAAGCAATTCAAGATGAAATTCAAGTTCTCTCACTCTCTCCCTCTCTTGGTCGGCTGAGGCAACACAAGGCTGATGGAATGTTTGAAGTGTATACAAGGCTCTAATATGTTATAATAAGAGGCCCACTAACAATGGCAAAAGTGTAATTACGCCAAACTCTCTAATTAGCTGAAATTAATCTAATTTAATCATCCCTAATCAGTTTTCAAATAAAGATGCCATAAAATCACATTAATTATGATGATCATAAAACATCAATCAATTTCCGGTTCGGCCGCCGATAAGGCCTTCAATTAGCAGTTTAAACATAAAACACGAACAGATCAAACAAACAGTCAACAGATAAAATGCAATTCAAATAGATATATTTATTCATTTCAGTGTCAATTTCGGTCAGTCAGTTCAGTACTTTAATCAGTTCAATTATCAGTCATAATCAGTTCAGTTTAACGGTAATCACTGTTTATCAGTAAGCAGTGGTGAGGGTTATTACATCTTCGTACGCCATCTTCTTTGGACTCTCTCCTCTGCATGCATGTGAGTTGTAACTAACAGGGAGGACATCTACTTAGGTTGAATAATTAGATTGACCTTCTCTCCATTTCTCATGGTCTTGAGTGCTTTTGGCAATGCCGGACAAAAATGGCCTAAGAGAATCAAACATAATGATTTTCCTATAAAAGATGCTAGTTGAACTATACCCTTATACTTCACTGCATTATAAATGTTTAATCCAAAACATTGAAAACAAATGCAAATCATGATTTTAATAGCCAATTACTTTCACATGAAATCCGACTCCCTTCTAGTGTTGTTGCAACCATAGCACCATCATCCAGACTCACTTGATACTTCACTGCATCAGAAACCAAAAAAAATCCGTGAATCAATGTTCTAACAAGAATAATAACAGTTGAAAACTGCAGCCTAAACAGGGCGGCTCTAACTTTTTTGGGGCCCAAGGCAAACCCAAAAAATGAGGCCCAATCATCATACATATTTTAATATTGAAATAAATTTTAAACATTTTCGATTGTCAACAATATTAGTTTATTCAAACTTTTTCCTGACGTAGTATATTGAATTGTAAAATTTGATAAACTTCAACTTAAAATATATATATATATATATATATTTCTAAAGACAATTATAATTGGTATAATCAAATAATATTCTATAAATAATTCATGCATTTGGCAAACAACCATTCATTACTTTTAAATAATTCACGAATTCAATTGTTTAAAAAAAGTTTTTAAATTAAATACTATTATGTAGTGTTTGATTCATTGAAATGAAATGAAAATTAAATAGAATGATCATTTCTTATTAGTCTATTTGGACATTATGTTGGAGTGATTTTCATTCATTCTTTTATTTATTAATTTTAATGGACTAAACATAACTTAAGATCGAAAATTATTTAGGGACCCTATTTTCTAGACAAAATTTGAGGGTTCGAGGTGACAAACTTGCTGCCTTGCCTCAGAGCCGGCCCTAAACAACCTAAAAACATAGAACTTGTCATCAATGAAAATCATATGGAACCAAATAATTAATAATAAACAAACAATTTATATTACCGAAACTTCATCTAAATCACTGGCTGGACCAATTTGTTCTCCCTTCTCCATCACTTTCTTAAAAATTCCACCATCCTTGCCAACATCTATGATCCATGAGATGAGATCCACTTCAAACTGAATAACACAATTGGGAGGGACACCATTTTTGCCTGTGGTTTATAACCCAAATCAAGTTGGAGGAAACCCAAAAGTAACCCCATGAAAATGAAGAATCACAATGAAATATTTTTGCATCTAAGAATAATAAGGTTTGGGATGTCCTAAAAAAGTGTACTTTTTGTCTTTTTACGAAAAGATGTGCAGAAAAGTAGAGAGGTAATGTGATGGGAAAAAAATAAAAAGATAAAAAGATGGATTATATAGTCTATGCCAAACCAGCCCTAAGTTTTCAATGCTTTGTTTTTTGAATTTTAATGTAATGTCTTTAAAGCTAGAAATCCATCAATTTTGTTAGTGGAGATAGAAGTCTTTAGCATCATTAGTATAGTTTCTAAATATAAGGTCTCTAACTTTTATGAATATTCACCCATTTTCAATGGGTTGTTTTGTGAGTAAACAGGTTATGCTCATTTGTTGCTCACAACAATGGCTCTCATTGATTGCATTTATTTTGCGTTGTTGAGCATAGATGGGGTTTTATTGCAAGCTTGAATTTGAATATATATATATATATATATGATTATGTTAGTAAGTTTTCAATTAGGAAAGTCCTCTAATATTTTAGTCTGTATATTCAGGCATATTGTCGAACAGTTGGTGTGCCTAATTTGTTTATGCACTAACAGGCAACCATGAGAACTGAAGCATGCAAATCAGATATCAATATATCCTTATATAGCAGAAAATGAGTAGAAAACCGCTACATTACATACTAGATTTTGGAGTTTGGGCTGTAATCTGTGAACCCAGAAACAACGAAGTTAAACCAAGATAGGAAGTGAAAAGGAACAAATATGTATATATATATATACATAGCTAACCACTACAGCCATTGCTCATAGCTAACCACTGGAAATCGCAAATCCCATCGTTGCAAACCACCACCAATTGCGAATTGCTTCATCAAGAACCACCGCTCTAGAGGAATTGGATTTGTTCTGTAGATTGGGCATAAATATGTATATATATATATATACACACACATAAATGGATAATTTATTCATCTATAGTTGGTTGATTTAGGTCTTTTGGATACATATAATAATACTACTCCGATCTGTTGTGCAAGGAGGGATTTGATCTGGCCTAGTGGTCTGTAGTTGTTGTGCCAAGTGTGGATGATATGATATGAGTAGGACTGTTGACATGGCGGTGGTGTCCGGTGGAGTGAAGCGGTGGTGGCTTTTGATTGGTCATGGAGTGGTGGTGGTAGTAGCTCTGATCTCACGGTGGGGTGGGATACGGTAAAGATGATGGGGCTGGTGGGCTTGCGCTATGCCGTGGGTTCGTGGGGCATGGGGCAATAGTTCTGGACATTATTTTCTTTTGGAAATTTTACAAGTCAAAAATAATTATAGATTAATGAAAAATTTATGATCTTAATTAGAAAAAATTAGTAAAAAATTCACTCTAACAATTGTCTAAGACATTAGGTTCAGTTATTTCTTTTATTGGTGAAAAATTCACACTTTGTGAAATAATTTGGTGAGAAGTTCTGGAGAATATTTTATTTTCAATTTTACCCATTTTTTTTTTCTATCTATTTGACTTTTTATTGACTATCTGTTCAAATTTTTCGCCTATCTGTTCATTTTTTTGTTTATATGTGCAAATTTTCTATCTGTCCAAATTTTATCTGTCTAATTTTTTTATCTATTCAATATTTTTATTTGTACAAATTTTCATATCTATTTAATTTTTATCTATAGAAGCTAAGTAATATTTTTATTTATACAAGCTAAGTAATCTTCCATTATATCTCTCTCCGTCTCTCTCATTCTTACATGTTCAATGCAAAAACAAAATCAAAAAATTACTGTTTCATCATCATCATCAACAACAAAATCTTGGTGGAGAGGAAAACCCACCGATAAACATAAATCAAATTAACAAAATAAGCATTGTTAGCTATGTACTTATCTATGCTTAGAATTCTTGTACACCCAGGTTTCTTGTACACTGATTCGTGTACACTTAGGTTTCTTGGCCTATATCTACATGTTTCTCCTATTGTATTGGAATTATTCAATAATATAGTTCATATACTTCTCTCTCTCTCTCCCTCTCTCTCTCTCTCTCTATATATATATATATTATTCTAACTTGGTATCAGAGCGAAAACCAGAACAATGGCGTTGGAGATGACCTGGAACAGTCTTGTGGCAAGTAAAGCATTCGCGAACCTGGCACTGATCAAAAGAATGAGTGGCTGGTAGGCCACAGTTATGACAATAATTGCATAAACTAGTAGGCTGTGAAGATAAGGAACTCCGTGACGATGGTGTAGAAACAACAAAATCCACATTCTTAGATTGAGAGCCTAAAACGAGTCTCCTCTGATTGTGACAACCAGAGTGCTATTCAAATTGCACACAATGATGTCTTCTATGATTGCACCAAACATATTGAGATAAATTGTCATTTCATGTGACAACATGTTACTCAGGGCACTGTTCGTCTTCTCTTCGTTACCTCTACTGATCAGACCGCCGACCTTTTCACCAAAGCTTATCCTCTCGGACGTTCTTATGATCTCTTCTCCAAGCTCAAGTTAATACCCGCCTCACCTGTAACGCCCCAATTTTCATACCCAAATGACAATACAATAATCATGGCCCTTTTAAAGGAAAGCCAATTATACAATCCCACACTTGCATTTCTTAATGTAAATAATTCCTCATCCGATAATACATTAGTCCAACAACAAGTAATTAAACAAATAAATACCCTTAAGGATTTACAAGTTTCCAAGGCTTAAGCCTGGTTACACAAAATGGTTATTCAAACCCACACAAATACAGCCCTTGGCTTACAGACAGAGTCACAGCAGAATGAGAGTTTTGTACTCTCAATACACACATTTTCTAGCCTTTAGTTATGTGGAATCATCACATCCTTTCCTGCACAAAATCCCATAAGGTGAGCATAAAGTCCAGTAAGAAATTCTTAACAAAATATATACATTTTATACAAGTCTCAAGAGATGAAATGCATATGTCATGCTATGTTCTTTTTGAAGATAAATCACATTTTTCATCTTTTGAAAACCATCATGCTCAATGATGTCATGCAATTTCAATTGTTCAATATTTATCAATTTAATTCAAGGGGCGGTAAATACAACTCTGGTAATCCCTAGGTCGGTGTCTGCAAGTAGACTATACAAGTACTACCAATTTTTCATTTTTGCCAGCATTGACTGGAAGGCTCGACACTTAAAATCTGTTATTTTTACTAGTATTAACTAGAAGGCTCGACACCTATTCAATTTCATCTACACCACTTGTCAAGACTTACCACCGTATTTATCCCAAAACCAATTCTTGGAAACTTGTTTCTCAACATTCTTTTCTCAATGCAAGCTTTCAAATTAACTTTCAAAGTTTAATGTAATCAAATTAATTGATATGCCAATAACACAAGATGAATATAAATATTTTCATTCCAATTCATCATCCAAGGAATAACACAATTCCCTCTTCTCAAGTATCCTCAACAATTAGTCATTACAAGACTATTTCAACGTTTTGAACAATAATTTCCAAAATGAACAACAATTCTCATATTCCCTGAAATTCATCATTTATATAAATATAAATAAGAAATTTTCCAAACATCCATTTATTTTGACACACAAAATAAATATAACAATATCATTCATGGATTTTTAGTCTCTTAAAAAAAAATCCTCAAATTCTAGGTTTTCTCACCAAAACTATACAACTCAAATCTTTTGAAAGAAAACTTTCCAAAATCATATTTTCTTCAATCAACAAAGATCAAAACCTATGAGATCATTTTAAAAGAACAAGAGACAAACCCACTTTCAAAATCGCTCAACTTCTTGAATTAACAATCAATTTTCAAAGCTATCGAAGGATGATTTTGAAAATCATCTAGATCTTGCAAATATATATATATATATATATATAACTCTAAGAAAATCCCTACCTCAAGTTTTGAAGAAGAAATGAGATGAAACTCCCAAAATCAATGGTGTCCAAACTCGATCTTCACCGCACACAACGAAGTCCTCGAGGAGTTAACCAACTTTGATAAAGAACTTAGGTCCAAATCCCAAAGGATTTGAAGAAATCAAAGACCTTGTGAGGTTTTTGGTAGGAAATGTAAAGAGAAGGGAGAGGAAATGTTTTTAGAGAGAGAGAGAGATATACAAAAGTGATGTGAAATATCAAATTCACGAACTGATATAATACATGGTTCACTCGAGCATGGAAAGCCCCGCTCGAGCGTCAAATACACTATCCTAGTACTTTTGCAGACATGTCAAACTTTTGAAACTAAACATTCTCCACTCGAGCGCATAAACGGCCGCTCGAGCGGACAAGCAATTTCTAATGCATTTTGCATTTTTGTTTTGGGGGCGCTACCCCTCAACACCGCCAGGGCGCTGCTCTAGGACCTGCCAAGGGGCGCTGCCCCCTGGACCCCCACGACCTGACTGGGCAGCTTAACCCCTGTCAGGGCGCTGCCCTTGGACCCTCCAAGAGGCGCTGTCCCCTGGACCCCCATAAGCTGACAGGGCAACTCGACCCCTGCCAAGGCGCTGCCTTTGGACCCGCCAAGGGGCGCTGCCCCCTGGACCCCGCAAGCTGACCGGGTAACTCGATCTCCGCCAGGGCGCTGCCCTTGGATCCGCCAAGGGGCGCCGCCCCCTAGACACCCACGAGCTGACCGAGCAGTTCGACCCCCGACCGGTCTAGTCGAAGTGGCAAAACATGAAAGAAGGATCGAAACCGGGATCGCTACATTACCACATTGAGCTTGAGGGGGTGTTAGCTGTATACTTATCTATGCTTAGGATTTTTATACACTTAGGTTTCTTGGCCTATATATACAGGCTTCTCTTATTGTATTGGAATTATTCAATAATACAGTTCATATACTTTTCTCTCTCTCTCTTTACTATTCTAACTAGCATAAACCACAATAATGCAAAGCACAGATAAACACAAATCACATTGGCCAAACCACAGATAAGCACGTTAAACATTCTCTAAATCAAAACTCCCCATGAATGAAAAAGTTGTAGAGAGAAAAAGAGATCGATGCTTGTATTTTGTTGTTCTATACAAATACATAAGCTTGTATGTATCTGATTTGCATACAGATCTAACAAATCTCTATTTTAGTCAAAAGCTTTCTCAAATCTGCATCATCAGATTAGGGTGGCGACTGTGGTGACCTAGTCAGTGCGCTACGGATCTGGATCCCGCGGCGGAGAAGCAGCGGCAATGGAAGAGAAGGAGCGGCGAAGGAATAACAATGGCGGAGGAGCCAAAGCGATGATGGATGTTATAGCGATCCCAGTTGTCCCTTTACTGTTCTGTCGTATTCCGGACCTTGGTTCCGTGGAATTGGTGGTTGTATACCTTGTTGTCATCCTTTACTTCTTTTGTTTGAGTTTTGGGATGGGTTGAGTATGTTTTGAGCAGGTGGGTAGAACCTTGGTCTAAAATCTCGTTGCCCAGGTTTTTGGTGTTACGCTCGAGCGGGTTTTTCTGCGCTCGAACGGAGTTTGGTTTTTGGTTGTCCGCTCGAGCGGGTGCTCTAGCGCTCGAGCGGAGATTGCACACTCCCAGTATTTCGCGTCCCTACAAAACTTCTGCAGGTGTGATTTCTACGCTCGAGCGGGTTTCCTGCGCTCGAGCGGGTGGCGCTCGAGCTAGTTTGTTGGCGCTCGAGCGGGTAGTACTATCTTGGTGAAAGTTCTGGGAGAGGGGGATTTGTGCTCGAGCGGACTGGTTTTCTCGCTCAAGCGGATATACTTTATTCTTGTGTCTTGGCGCTCGAGCGGGCCTTCTTGCGCTCGAGCGGACTCAGTTTTCTGTTCTTGATGCTCGAGCGTTGTGTTTTCCGCTCGAGCGGGAATGTCGTATAACAGTCAGCTGTGGGGCATTTTTAAATCACTTTTTCTCATCTCTTCTCTCTCTTACTTTTCTGAAAACTCCATTGTTGAGCCTCTCTCTCTAGTTAGAGTTGTTTCTTCACCTTTGGCCTTTACAAAAAGGTTGTTGATCGTCGAGGGCTATCTCTTGATCCGAGAAACTTGTGATTTGGAGCAACTTCATTTTTCATCATCTTCTTCGTTGGGTGTCAACTTTTGAGATAGGGATTCCTACTCACTCTTATGGGTTTTAACCTAGATTTTGAGTTTATTGGTTAAATGGTTGATTTTGGGACTTAGGGTTTCAAAATGTGCTAAAGAGGGTTTTGTGATTTTGGGCTCATAATATGTATTTTGGGTTCCAAAATGATGATATAGTTGTTGGTTGGTGATATTTGAACCTTTGAGTTGATATTGAGAGTTGGGAGAAAAAGCCCTAATTTATTGTTTAAATTAATTGGTATAATTAATTTGGGAAAGTTGTGACTTTATGGAATTGAGTTGGAAATAATGAAATTGGTTCATTATATGGTTGAATAGTGGAGTTAGATTTATTAATCGCTCACTTTTGAAAACATTGATATTTTATCTGTTGGAGCTTTTATTATCTGTTTAGAAATAATTGCTTGGACTACCAGTGGAGGGTAGTTTTGATTGTTGTAGACAATGCATGATGATTAGGCAAACTAAAACTAATCAATTGGATATGTCATAGAGTATGACGGTTGATAGAATACATTAACGTTATGTATTGATTAATTGTGTATATGACCTTTGTGTATATACGTTGTGTGTGTGGGAGGAGATAGGGGATGCACGGTTTAGGGGAAGATAGGGGATGGACCTCTAAACCGGATGTTGTTTGGGAGGAGATAGGGGATGGACTCCACTGATACAGCTCATATGCTTGTCAGATAATGTGTTGATACAGCTCATATGCTTATCTTTGGAAGTGTTGATACAGCTCATATGCTTATCTTTAGAAGTGTTGATATAGCTAATATACATATCTGTTGAAATGTGGATACAGCTTGTATGCTTATCTGTTGAAATGTTGATACAACTAGTATGTTTATCTATCGTAAAAATGGGAAATGTTTAATATGAGTCACCGTCTCATATAAGTGGTTGGCCAGGTTCTGAGCCGTTGATGTAAATTGTGAAGTTGATAAGAAATGGAAACTAGAATGAAGCATGAACATAGTGGTCATGGAATGGAATGGGTTATGAATTGATTTATGGAAATTGAACATTTATCAATTGGTAATGTCTTAGTTATTGCTCATACTGTGTTTAGCATATTTCTGCTGGGCTGTGGCTCACCCTATATGGGACATTATTTTCAGGTACATGTAGCATGCCACCTCCAAGGACATAACTTGGATGATTATGGGAGTTGGTGACTCTTTTGATTATTTTGTTTGTATTACATGTATACCAAGCCAAGAGCTTATTTTGTAAAGAGTTAGTACTCTTCTTTTGTGTAACCAAGTGTTAACTTGGAAAGCTGTAAGCCCGTAGGGCATTTGCTTTTGTTGTTAACATGTAATACTGTTGTAAGAACTACTCTGATGAATAGAAATTGTTGGTTTCTTCTATATCAATGCATGTCTAAAATGATGGGCTTTATGTATTTTTTTGAGGGGCGTTACAGAGAGAACGTGAGAGAAAGAGAGAGAAGCTACAAATCTAGATATCGCGGCAAATGAGAGAATAGAGCAGCAACGGAAAAGAAGAAGCAACGACAGCAGAGCGGACCCATTAGAGCTCATTTAGAGCTCTTGGTTTAGAACTCTCAAACATTTTTTTCTAAAATTAAAAATAAAAAACATGTATGTGATATATATATATATATATAGGGGTATTTTGGTCATTTTATTTAATTGTTGTTGTTTTAGACAAAGTATTCTAGCGCTTGGACCTTTGGCCGAATAAATTTGAGATTTGGATTTTTGGCTCAAGTATCCTTTTAATTATTAAAGAAGAAATATTAATTTTAAAAAAAAATGACATAATTTTAATTTTTTAAGTTATAATTAAAAAAAAAAAAGTTTTGTCATAACTAAATATAATATTACATATAACTAAAGAATTCATGAGTAATAACTAAAATAATATCATAACTAAAGAAGAAAATGACATAATTAGGGGTGTATGTAGTACATCTTATTTAAAGAGGTGGATATTAGAATTTCCCTTAAAATGTATAAAGTTTATCATGAATCTGTAATTTTTTTTAAAACTAATACAAATTTGTTATATCTCTATATTTTTTTCATAGGGTAAATTTCACTTTGCCCCTTTTATAGTTGGCCACTTTCTCACTTTGGCCCTTAAAGTTTTTTTTTTTTTTTTTTTCTCACTTTAGCCATTCATGTTTTAGGTTTTTCTCATTTTACTCTTAAAGTCAATTCATGTTCAAAATTAGACAAAATGACACATTGATACTCACATAGCATAAAAACATTTTATTATATATAACTCGCACTTCTGACATAAACTTAAACTGTACTATACTGTAATAATATATTTTGTATGTTATGTGACAGTTATTGTGATATTTTTTGTCTAATTTTGAGCAAAAGTTAGCTTTAGGAGTAAAGTAGGAAACGTTTGAAACATGAATGGCCAAAATAGGAAAATAAAGTGAAAAAATGACTAAACATAACGGGGCAAAATGTAATTTACCCTTTTTTCATACTATTGCTGACTGTAATTTAAATAAGGATAAATTACCGTTATGACTCATTTACTTCTTGCCCCCTAAATTTCAAAATTCAACAATTAACTTCTTAAAGTATTATCTTATTACAGTTAACCTTTTTTATTAGGACTTTGTTAGAAATTTACAAAAAAATTCGATCATGCATAAAGCACATGATACATTTATTAAAATTATAGGTTAATAATATTCTTATATGATGATCTCATTTACACTTTGTCACTAAGATCAGAAAGACAAAGTTCAAATGAAAGCATCAAATAAGAGTATTATTATCTTAAAACAATCAATAGCCTGCATTATTATCTCAAAAATTTAATTTTTTGTAAATTCTAACAAAATCATAATAAAAAAAGTTAACTGTAATAAAATAATATTTTAAAGAGATTAACTATTGAGTTTTGAAATTCAAAAGGACAAAATGCACACGGGCCATAATTTAAAGGAGTTTACTATAATTTACCTTTAAATAATTGTGTCGGTATAATTTATTAAAAAAATATTATAATGACCAATTAACATTTGCCACCTCAATAGCCCTGCATATATATATATATATTCTCTAAGTACTCAAATTTTTAGGGACACCATCAATCCTAATGGATGTTCAGTAATGCTATATGTAATTTTTTTTTCTCACTTCAAGAAAATAATGAGATTTACAATTACAAATGCATATAAAACATTTCTCCCATTGCAAATCATGCGTAGTCTTCTTAAAATAAAATACATTTAAATGAGAAAAGTTGCATTTAATAATTTGCAGCGTCACGCGGTTGTTGAGTCAACGAATATCTTCAAGTCCAATCAAAACTCAAGCACCTAGGAGAAGAGAAAAAATAATTATATATTTAGAACTTCAAATAATTAGATGAGAAATGATAAACAACTAAAAGAAAACACAAATGAGAACCTGAAGCAACTTCAAATATATATATATATATATTTTTGGGAGTACCTTATTGAATAAATGTATACTATTATAAAACAAATGGTCATAAAGATCAAAAAAGAAAAAACATAGAACTGTAGATACGCAAATGCTCATGTTTCGAGCTTAATTGCAGATATGCAAAATTCATGGAATGGTTGCAAAGTGTAACCCATAATACATGCAGATGCAAAAAAATGTCATTTTTCTTAAAATATCCTATTTTACTTTTGTTGGGTATACCTCCTTATTGAAGTGTGGGACCCAATTAGTTTGTTAAAGACTTTTAATTTAGCTTGATTTAGGTATAATATATTTTTTATATATTATATTTGTGAAGACCTAATTTAATTTGGATACAATTAAGGTTTGATTCCAAAATTCAAGATTCACAACATATATAATATAACTAATATATATATATTGTTTGCTCTTCACCTTTTCCGAAGCACGGTGCGGCTATCAATTTGGTGGGTTTTGGTCTATACGGGGCTGCTACATATTGGCTCAATTTCGGTTTTTTTTAAGCTCGGTTTTGGAGCATCTTCGGTTGGTGTTGGTTCGTTATTTTGGGTTTTTCTTTAACTCTTGTTTTGAAAATTTTTGTTCATCTATTTGGTGAGGTCTTTCCTCTTGTTTATTTGTAATTATTTGGAATTTGTGAGACCATTAGTGTCTCGTTTGTAATCGTTTGGAAACTATTTGGTTGATAGTGGAATCGGATTTCGATCCCGGAGATACCTCACATTGAGGAACCACGTAAAAATTCTTGTGTTGCTTTTGATTTAATTTTTTCGCATTAATTTTTATTCCCATTAATTAATTTACTTGTGGGGAATCACATATTTTCCCTAACAACTTTCTTTCTGATTATTATTATTATTATTATTATTATTATTATTATTATTATTATTATTATTATTATTATTATTATTATTATTATTATTATTATTATTATTATTATTATTATTATTATTATTATTATTATTATTATTATTATTATTATTATTATTATTATTATTATTATTATTATTATTATTATTATTATTATTATTATTATTATTTTAAATGTACAGAAAACTTCATTAATAATACAAATGTGATTCAAATATATAGCTACTGATATCCGATCATGTTAATTAATTTTTTGAATGAATATTCTACTCATTAAGTTAAAAAGTGAACTATTCGGATCACTAAGGTTGACCCCAAAATGAGCACACCAAGCCCAAACGCTCTCTCAAATTGAGATAGTCAACTTGAGAGAATTCAAACATGAAAGGGGATCAAAAACCAATGCAGAAAAGAATTTGCAATTGATACTGAAATCATCATGCTTGACAGGAACTATAACTGTTTTTTTTTTATCACATTCAAAATGTCAATGTTGAAGAATGTGATCATCTGGGTGAAGTATAACATATATCTAAGTCCTTATGATTTATGTGTCACAAGACAAACTAAAGTTTGTCAGCCTAGTACAGAATTGTGGCAATTTCAGTATTAAAAGCAGGTATATTATAGTTACTAAGAAGGTGGCAAGGTCATACCTACTCATGATCACGCTGCAATCTTAGCTCTTCTGCCTCCATGAAGACCATCAGTTCCAAGAAGGTTGTTCTTGATCACATGCAGTTGAGTAACAACACAATTAATGGTCAGTCGATCTCCTGGTAATTCTTGTGAATAGGCAATTCCAATATTAAGTATCGAAATCAAGCACTCATGAATTTTTCGAGTGTCAGCAGAGCTCTGATTCTGAGTGTTGTTGATGCTTGTGCTTGCCTTCCCCATTTCTCTTTGTTGAACTAGTGTTCGATCAACAATGCTCACTACCTCTTCAGGTAAAACCATGTTAACAAAGTTATGAAGATTCAGACTATCATTAAACATGTTATCGGTAGGTTTCTTCCCCGTAAACATTTCCAATAAAAGGATACCATAACTATACACATCACCAGATGTTGTCACCTCATTTCCCATACCATACTCTGCAATCATGCAACGTACAATGTAAATATAATTGTAAAGATGCTTGCTCAGAAGCATATCAAAGAATAGTAATTTATCTCTTTGTAAATAATTCCTTCTAGAAAATAAGTTCAGAGCACTGCAAACTTGACTGTTTAAAGTAAAATAGGAAAGGATTATGTCTCTTCTTGGTGAGTAAACAACATATTTGATTTGTCTTCTTGTATCATGAGAATGGCCTAACTTGAAACAAGTTTGATTGTTTCCTAGTGACAATTATGGAACCAATTAGTTGAAGCTTGGGTGCACAATTAAACTGAATCCAATTTGTTTTTATTCATCAAATTGATTATATAAAAAGAAATAGATACGAGAACTGACTATTAATAAAAGAGGAATTTTGTATTATTTTATTTGGTTCTTCGATGACTACAGACATAGCAGATAAACAAAAGGTAGATATTGTAGGAAGTTATGCTTTCACATTTTATGCCACGAAAATTCTAAGATTTCTCGATATTGGTATATATCCCCATTGACAGCAGAAGTAAATCCAAATACAATTACATAAATTATGATTCTGATTTGCAGACAAGTAGATAAGAGATGTATGGAAAATCCTCTAAAAAATGGGGGTGTCTGTTGTAAGTTCTACAACAACAAAACCTTAGGGTGTGTTTGGTAACGTTTACGTTTTCAGTTTATATTTACAAAAATTTTATAAACTGGTTTTTTTTTATTTTTTGTTTATTTTTAGAAAAACATAAACTACAAACGCGTTTGGTAATTGACAAAAATGTTTAAAAAAAATTTAAAATATAAAAAAGAGTTAGAAATGACAAGTGGTGGCAAGTGGCGACGGAAGACGGTGGTGGAAAATGGTGACGGTGGGTGGTAAGTAGGTGGTGGGTAGCTGGTGGTTGTGGATGGTGGTGGGTGGGTGGGTGACGGTGGCGGGTGGTAGCGAGTGGGTGGTGGCAGGTGGGTGGCGGATGGCGGGTGGTGGTAGTGGTGGTGGATGGGTGGGTGACGGTGGCGGTGGTAGGTGGTAGCGAGTGGGTGGTGGTGGTGGTGGGTGGGTGGTGAGTGGTGGTGGTGGTGGCGGTGGCGAAAGACGGTAGTGGAAAATGGTGGCCGGTGGCGGCTAGTGTTGGGTGGTAAAAAAAAAAAACTCAAAATTCAAAACGAAAACACATTTTTTGTGTTTTCATTTTTTGGCCAGATTTATAAACTGAGACCACTAATTTATAAATCAAAAATTTTACCAAACAAGTTTTTATTTGAGTTTTTAAAATTTTTGTAAATATAAACAGAAAACTGGTAGCGGGTGGTGGTGAGTGGGTGGGTGACGGTGGCGGGTGGTAGCGAGTGGGTGATGGTGGCGGGTAGCGGGTGGTGGTGGCAGGTGGGTGGTGGGTGGTGATAGCGGGTAGGTGGCGGGTGGGTGGTGAGTGGTGGTAGCAGGTAGGTGGCGGGTAGGTGGTGAGTGGTGGTAGCGGGTAGGTGGCGGGTGCTGGTAGCGGGCGGTGGATGGTAGTAGCGGATGGTGGGTGGTGGCGAGTGGGTGGCAGGTGGGTAGGTGGGTGGTGGTGGTGGCGGCGAGTGAGTGGCAGGTGGGTGGTGGTTGGTGGGTAGTGGTGGCGGGTGGTGGTGGCAGGTGGGTGGTGAGTGGTGGTGGCAGGTGGTGGTGGGAGGTGGGTGGTAGTGGCGAAAGACGGTGGTGAAAAATGGTGGCGGGTGGTGGCTAGGGTTGGGTGGTAAAAAAAAAAAAAAACCTTAAACTCAAAATCAAAACACATTTTTTGTGTTTTCATTTTTTGGCCAAATTTATAAACTGACACCACTGATTTATAAATCAAAAATTTTACCAAGCATGTTTTTACTTGAGTTTTTAAAATTTTTGTAAATATAAACAAAAAACTGAAAACGTAAGTGTTACCAAACGGCACCTTAATTTATTGATCCTAAAAATATAAATTCCTGGCAGTCTCTTCGTTAGGTGGTTTTTGTTGGAACTCTCTTAACAAATAATAAATAAGAAATCAAGTTTTCTTAAGCAAGAAACTAATGAAGTTAAGAACCTTAATTCTCTCAAGTTTCATATTTTTTTAACTAAATTATGCACCTTGACATTAGAAAAAAGAAAAGAAATTAAAAATAAAAACTTTAATTTACTTTTAAATAACACATTAGAAAAGATCTGCCAAACACACTGCTGGAAAATCTGCTTTTAGCGGCGTTTAAAAAATGCCGTTATAGGTACAACAACGTCGCTAATTCTTTTTGTGACGTTTAATACCAAACGCGGATGCTGCGGCCGTCGCTATAGCTTTATGACGTTTAAAAAACGTTGTTATATGACTATAGGCGGCGTTTTGAACGACCTTTTAAAAAACTTACCGTTAGCTTTTAGTCAAACTTACCGTTAGCTTTTAGTCAAACTTACCGTTAGGTTGGTTTCTATGCCAGCAGAGAAAGAAAATAAATAGCTGTTTTAATGAAGGAGATGAAAATGAGGAGGCATGAAAATTTAGGGAAAAGAGAAGAATGCACTCAGCATGTGACAACAATTAAATTCTTTTTTTCCTTTTTCTTGGGTACAAAGACAACTAGAGAAGATTAATATGAAGGTCACCAGTAACATCTTTGACTGCAAACATTCCTCTGCAGTGCGGCCCCCCTTCCTCCCCCCCCCAAAAAAAAAAGGTGGCCCCATGAGCATAGACGGCAAGGAATTTGTTTATTAAGGTGGGCCCATGGGCATAGACAGCAAGGAATTAATTTAGAAAGTAAACAAATAACAAGGGACAACAACCAATAAATAAATGAAGAAACTCATCTCAGTCATTGCACTAAGCACTGAAGAATATTTTTCTAACAAAGGAGATTTACAGACCTGCCCCACTACACGGAGAATGCTCTTCTGAACTCTAATATCTTCCTCAACTTCAGCTCCTAGGATTCACATTACATGATACATAAATGTTTGTTTTTTAATTAAGATCACAATATGGATGTATAAATATGTATAGAGATCTAACCAGCTGCTATGAACAAAAGAAATTGTTGTGTGGGATCCAGCCCTATAATATTATAGCGTCCTGGTTTCTTGGCTTTGTCCTTTCCACCAGCAGAACCAGACTCTGATGGTCCACTGACACGAGCAGAGCAAAGCATTGCGGTCACTATGGCATCATGTCGCCTATGAGCAGCTGCCACTACCCCTGGGGGAACATCACAAACAAGATCGCCACTCACAACCTGCAGAAGCATAAAGAATTAATAGCCATAAATTCCAACAGAACCATAATGCACAAAAGTTGAGAACTCCAACCAAGATATCATGTGCAGTCAGGTAGTGACCAATGGCCCGAAGAGCAACAGTTGTGCCAACATCCTCGGGTACTGCAGCTACCTGCAAATTTTCATTATTTTACAAGTGTTGCACAAAGGCAAATAAATAAATAAGAAAAAGAAGAAATAACAGCTCAACTCTCCTCCCTGAATGATAACCTTCCTCTCTGGTCTTGAGCAAAAGATGCCAACAATTATAGATTTAAACCCCCCATAATCTGCATAGGTTACAGTAGTCCCACCCCATTCATTTAAAATAAAAATTATTTTAAGCATTTTTAGGAAACTGAGAGTGCATACCTTTGTGATTTGATTACAGAGAGAGAGATATTGAATTGATCTGGTTGAGTTTGTTTGTTGGTTTGTTTAGGGTTCGTTGGTTGGTGAATGGTTTGCTTCGACTCTAAAGAAGGTCGCTTGCTCGCTCTCGCTTTCTTAGATCTAACACAATGAGATCGTCGTTTGGGTAAAAATTTTGGGACTCGTCTGGTTGGTACGGCCAAAAATTATTAGATAATTAAAAATTATATAAGACCAATATTTCTGATAACCTTTTGCTCTGTAGGTTGTCTGGTATTATCCTTCTTAACAAAAACAGCAAAAAGAGTAGTAGGATTGGCAACAGGATTCAGCTGTTGTAATGACTCTGGAGATCCAAGCCTTGCCGCAAGCTATAGATAAGATCTCAATCAGAACCAGGCACAATTTGATTTAGCCACCATATCAAACAAAATGAATAGTCACAAACCAAAGAAATCTTGAGAAATTCATAAAAACTAAGAAATGAAAGCCTCATAATCCTCTAGAGAGATTGAAACAAAAATAAATAAATAAAAAATTAACATAACAGCAGATTTCAAAGAACAAAGGGTAAACACCAATTACTGCATGCAATCCTTTCCAAGTAGGAACTCTTGAAGAAATTTTAATAAAAAGTAAGACCACGAGAACCTTTTTATACCCGAAGAAAAGGGGCACAAAAACAAGGAGTATAACAATTGGCACTAATATATGCATAACATATGCTCAGACCTAGCATAACAACAATTTAGAAAATAATGCATAACTAAATAATAACACTTACCTCTTCAGAATCAATAAGCCTCCAACAGCCATGACGTAACTCAACGAAAATCCTGCCAGACCCAGGATCATTTCGAGAAGAAGACGTTATAAACTGCCAGTAACAGTTCCGCCTGCGATCTTGCCCAAGAGGCAAGGACCTGTATACATACATCTCTTCTGCCTTATGACCAAAATAAGATTTTAACTGCGACCATGACCTTTCAGCAGCATATCCAGGTTGCAGGAGTGAAAGATTATCTGTGCATGTAGAGACCTCTTGTATTTGTGGGTTCCGTTTGGAGGGCATATGAATAGGATAGTTCGGGTCATTCTGTGCGTCATGAAGGTGCTCTTTCTGTTCTACAGGATTTGTTGATACCAAATTATTTTTGTCATCAACAGTAGGCAATGGGCTTTGCCTGCCCTCAACAGAAGAAATTTGAACATTTGGTTCAGTCTTGTCACTGATGTAAGATGGATACTGTATCTTCATCACATACTCCTCTTTCATTCGGCATTTATCAAGTTGTACCTTTGCCCACATTTGCTTCTTTAGAGCATTTGCGGCTTCCAAACATTCCTGAAAAACTCCCACATTTCATATCACAGACATGCAAAAGCAGAAAATAATAATAAAAAAAATACCTTAAGTCAAGAGAATACACAATATTACCTCTAGAATAATGCGAATTGAGTTTCCTTCATTCGCAACGCCAATTAAAGCAACAACGGCACTAAGGCGTTCCTCAACACTCAGATCAGAATACTCGCCTTCCATAAGTCCTTGAACCCATGGTTCACCAGAGTTAATTTCATCAATAACCATGTCTTCTTGATCAAGAGTAGCTGCCTCATTGCAGATTCCAGCAACATCAATAGATTGATCAACAGAAGCACCAATGCTTTTTACGTCCTTGTACTCTTTAGACTGCATCAAAGGTGAACTATCACCCAAATTCTTAACACCAACTTCTGGAGTTTCCATCACCCAAATTCTTAAAATTGTATTTAACAATATTATTATGTGCCTTTTTTGTTGCATGATTGCTATAAAATGAATAAATTGCAAAAATTTATGAAAGAAGTGAATTAACTGTTCAATTTGCCATCATCACCATGAGATGAATTAAACACAAATCTTATGATCTTGCAGATTTTAACCTATCTAAACATTCAACCCACATAACAGTTCCAAGAAAGAAAAACAATAGACAAGTCACAACATCCAATTAATATCATGACACTGCTTCTGAAAGAATTAGAAAACCAAATAGCAGTTATGATGTAGTCCTTCATCAATAGTTGGTTGTTCTCCATAACCACATCGATGACAGATCGAACACAATTTAAACATAGATGAAATCACTGAGACCAATTACTGAAAGCACAATCTAGATCTCATAGTGCAGAGCAACACATTAGTGAAAAACAATTACTGAAATAGAGATGAAATCACTTAGACCAATTTTTCAAAACACTTATCCAAATCATATTGTAAATCATATTGTATATCATATTGTATAAATCACAAACAGAACAACTAACCTCTAATCGAAGAAGCCAAAGAACTCCCAATCCACGGAGATAAATCACGGAGCTGTGCTCAAAATCGAACTTCGAAATCGCAATCCCGAGATGAATCACCAACTAGAAGAAGAATCGAAGAATAATCACCGAGTAAGAGAGTGAAGAAGAATCGAGAGCCCGGGCTTAAGACCTATATAGAGCCCTAAACAAAAGTATTCACTAAGAAAAACATTGATCCGAAACAGAGATAAATCACAATCAGGACAACTAACCTCTGATCGAAGAAGACGAATAGTTCCAAATCCATGGAGATAAATCACGGAGCTGTGCTCAAAATCGAACTTCGAAATCGAAGAAGAATCATCGAACTGAAGAAGAATCGAAGAAGAATCACTAAGTAAGAGACTGAAGAACAATCGATCCTCTGATAGAAAGAGAGAGCAAGAGAGTGAGAGTGAGCAAGAGAGTGTGAGTGAGTGACGGCTGTGCTCAAAATAGGGTTTTCAAAATAAAGGTTTGGAGAGACAGAAGAGGGTGTGAAGAGAGACAGGATTTGGAGGCGGTTTTCAAACGTCTTGATTCACAAAACGGTACCGTTTTAACTAATAACAAATGCGACGTTTAAAAAACGCCGTTAATTATTAAAAAAAGTGACGTTTACTAAAACGCCGTTAATTAAACGCCGTTAAATCCCTAATTTCCTGTAGTGACATTTATTGATTTTTATTCGTTTGAGGATGTTAATGTATATATGGTATATATTCCTACATATATTAGGTGTTGATTTCCTAGATATATTAGGTATTGCCATAGTTAGGTCTCTTATAGGATACTCTTTCTCATAGTTAGATTTCTAGTAGGATACTCTTTCTCAGCCTATATATACAGGCCTTCTATTGCATAGGACAATCACTCAATACAATACATATTATTTTCTCTCTCTCTACTATTCTAACATGGTATCAGATTTAGGTTAAGAATCTAATAATTTCGCTTCACCGGCGGGCGGCAGCCTCGCCTTGGCCGCCCGCTGGACCTCAACCTATTCCACTGTCATATTTTCTTGTCAATATCGCTTCGTGGTGATCTTTTCCTTTATCCGCTGGTTTATTCCTACTCTAAATATCTTTATCATAATTTTTTTTTTTTTTTTTGTGCTTCTTTCCCTCTGCTTCAACCTCAAATAAGTTTCTATGTTCAAACCTATTTGAGTTTGGAGGGGGTATTATACCTATATTATGGTGAACATGGATATACACAATGCAAACCACCTAAGCCACCTCATTTTGGCGCACTCTCTAAGTCGTCTCCTTGGCGCACAACCCAAGCCATTATACCTATATCATGGTGAACATGGTTATACACCATGAAAACCACCTAAGCCGCCTCCTTTTGGTGCACCATCCAAGCCGCCCTCTCTGGCGCACAACTCAAGCCACCTCCTTTGGCGCACAATCCAAGTCGCCCACTAGCACACTTAGTTATCTGTTGCCATCATCGTTCAGCACCACGTCATAAGTTATGTGTGTGCCATGCTTGTTGGTTCAACATCCAGTTCTCTACATCGGTCCGGCATTACCCCTTTAAACTGTCTTGACATTGATTCTGATTAGCTCCTACATCGGTCCGGCATGACCCCTTCAAACTGTCCTGACATTGATTCCGGTTAGCTCCTACATTGGTCCGACATGACCCCTTTAAACTGTCTCGACATTGATTCCAGTTAGATCCTACAATGGTCCGACATGACCATAAATTGTCTCTCGACATTAGTTCTAGCCAGTTTCTACATTGGTTTGGCACAACCTTAAATTGTCCTGGCATTAGTTTCAGCCAGTTCCTATAATGGTCCGACACGACCATAAACTGTCTCCCGACTTTAGTTTCGGCCTCTGATCTATTTTAAGCGCCTTTGCACTCACGTTCAGATTTTCTAATCTATTTGCCTTTTATTTTATTTGCCTTTTAATATATATATGGTATATATTCCTACATATATTAGGTATTGATTTCCTAGATATATTAGATATTGCCATAGTTAGGTCTCTTATATGATACTCTTTCTCATAGTTAGATTTCTAGTAGGATACTCTTTCTCAGCCTATATATATAGGCCTTCTATTGCATAGGACAATCACTCAATACAATACATATTATTTTCTCTCTCTCTCTACTATTCTAACAACTATTCTAACAGAGGAAGAAATGATGTCATGAGGAATCAAGCCAAAGAACAATCAAATTTACTTCAGTGATTGAAGGAGCAAACCTGATGGAAATGCAAAATTGACTCTAGATTCTGTTGGAAATTGAAGGTGAAAAAAGGAAGAGAGAATGAGCTA